TACTATTTCTTTAAATTGATGTTTAGTAGGTTTTCTCATTTATATATTTTGGTTGATTCCAAGCAAGTGCTCTATAAATGTTGTAATTATTCTATCAAGAGGTTTGGTGTATCTAGTTCTCCCTCTCTTTTTTTTTTTTTTTTTTTTTTTGGTTTTTTTTCTTAGTTTTTTTTATTGATTGTTCTACAAAATTTTTGGTTTTAAAATTACAAAGAATCAGTTTTTCAGGGCTTGCACTATCATAAATTTGACATTTTCCAACCTACTATACAAAATCCCAACTAGCAAATAAGTTATTTTTTCATATAATCGACAGAAAAGTTGTCAATTATATTTCTACTAATCAACAGTCAATTTTCTATCGATTATACAAGTATAATCGACAAAAAAATTGTTGATTATATTTAATACATAATCGACAGTCAATTTTTTGTCGATTATATTTCTATAATCAACAGAAAAGTTGTTGATTATAATTTTTGTTGACTATATAGGCTAATAAAGAACATAATCGACATAATAATATAATGACAACTTTTCTGTTAATTATGCCAATATAATCAACAAAAAATTTACTGTCAATTATAAATTTATCGATTATACTCTATTTTCTAGTAGTGAAAGATCTGTCTCTGAAATCATCCTAATGTTCCATAGCCCTTGATAATGACTCTATCCCAGCTATCCTCACTGCATTCCTGTATCGGTTTTTGGTTATTTTGCTTCGTTTGCTTGTAGGGGTCTCGTATGTCTATGTAGGTATAAGGTTTATAAACAAAACGTAGTTGATGTGGTACTTCAAATGTTGAATTGGCATGTTGACGGAGCTAGGAATTTTTGAATTCAATGTTGCTTATTATTGATAGAACAAAAGGCATAGTTCGGACTTGAGGGGTGCTTAAGGATTATGAGACTAATTGTTATAATTTTTTCAAGACTTGCATTGTTTAGATTAAAGGAGGTTAAGGAGGTAAAAACTGGTTTATGAAGACCGTGCTATACATTTTTAAATGGGTTGTTTTTAATCATTGTCTTTAATGTACAGGTTAAATATTGTAT